CAAGAAGCCAGCCTACGGCGAGCTTCTCCGTGCCTGCTGATGACCTTTGCCGTCCCACTAGTGTGACTCTAACTTTGGAAAGAAGGAAAGAGAGAATTAACGCGCACACAGACTCACGAGGACAAAGAAGTTTGGTGGCACTTTACATATACAGTGTATACATGTGTACATATATATACAAATTATTTGTATTTTCCGGAGGTGTTCAGGGGGTGGAACTTTCTGGTCTGTGAAAAAACTAACGGAGATGTGGTTGCATACTCAAATTGTACATCACATTTGTCAAGTGGACACATTCCAATACTGCTTAATTACAGCATTTCAGTTATAGCTGCTGAACTGCCAAAACAGTGTTGCCATTTTCAAAGGCAGGGGAAGGAGAGTAAAAGGTGTATTTTTGTTGTATGTGATAGAATATTTTGCTGCATTTGCATCAGTAAATTACAACATATTTTGTACACAAATAAACACATTATAAAATGTAATTTTGGGCATGTGGCTGACTATACAACTACTACTTGAGAGTTGAAGTATTAATACATTTATTTTAAAATTTATTATGTATCATCTCTCTTCTGTGAACATCTTAATGTAAAAAATCATAAGCATTTGCACATTGCTCATAAATTGTCGCTGAACTGCCTAATTCAGATAATGGTGGGCAGAAGGGAGTAATATATTCATGTAACAGTATTCATAGGACACTAAAAGATTATTGGTGTTATCAGTGCAGATTATTCTACTCTCTTAGTTTGTGGGTTTGGAAGATAAGCTCCAGAGGCTGTCTGAAACCATTCCTTCTTCTTACCCATGTGCACTTGTGAATCCTGAAACCACAACTTTTAGTTGTTGTTTTTCCAGTCTGGAAAGAATTTTAAATGTAGAAAACTTATATTGACTGAGTATGTTGTTCTTCACCAGTTCTTGTAACAAAATGCACAACCTTAAAAAATAAATTCTTCCAAGACAGGATTCCAAGGTATATTGTGTTCATGAGGCAAATGAAGGTATGCCCAGCAGCCCCTCTTGAGACACTCTTATCTTCAAACCACAGGGCATTAAGATCCTCAAAGACTAAACATCCCATCCCACCAGTGGGTGTGAGTCATAGTTGAATGGTTCCTCTCCTCCCCTTCTTACAGGATGGAGATAAATAAGATATGTGTGCTATGAACACCCATGAAGAAATATGCACACAAGCACAAGTAGCTACTTGTCTTAGGCCTTAGAAAAATACACACAGCAAACTTCTTCATATAGGCCACAAATATTTATTGGGTGCCTACTATCTGCTAGACACCATCCCAGGGCTGGGAATACTCTGTGCTCATAGTGTTTTCTAGTAGGGGAGATGACCTACAAGCAAATGAGCAAATATATATAAAGAGATTTATTATAAAGTATTGGTTCATGCATTTATGGAGGCTGAGAAGTTCCAAAATCTGTAGTCAGCAAATTGGAGATCCAGGAGAGCAGATGGTGTACCTCAAGTCTGAGTTCAAATGCCTGAGAACCAGGAGAGCCCAGGGGCTCAAGATGCAAGAAGAGCTGATGCTTCCAATTTCAACCAAAGGCCGGAAAAGACCAAAGCTTCAGCTCAAGACAGTAGAAGTTCTGTCTCACTCAGCCCTTTTGTCCTTTCATGGTCTTTAACAGACCAGATGAGTCCCACCTCTGTTAGGCAGGGTAATCTGCTTTACTCGGTCTACTGAGTCAAACAAATGTTAATCCCATCCAGAAGCACGCTCACAGGTGCAGCCAGAATGAGATTTGACCAAATGTCTGGGCACCTGTGTTCCAGTCAAGCTGACACATGAAATTAACCATCATGCCTTAGCAACCGACACCTAGTCAGCTGGTTGGGGGCTGTCCCATCCACCGAAAGGCCGCCAGGTTGGATATCTGGTCAGGGCACATGCATGGGCTGTGGGCTCCATCCCCAACGGGGAGCATGCAGGAGGCAGCAGATCAGTGTTTCACTCTCACATTGATATTTCTCTCTCTCTCCCTCTCCCTTCCTCTCTAAAAATCAATAAAAATCTTTTTAAAAAATTAACCATCACACCAAGAAAGCACAATGAGCCCTGGCCTGGTGTCGCAGTTGGTTGGAGTGTCATCCCGTGCACCAAAATGGCTGTAGGTTTGATTCCTGGTCAGGGCACATACTTAGGTTGAGGGTTAGATCCCTGATTGGGTGCGTTCAGGAGGCAATCAATCGATTGATCTTTCTTTCTTTCTTTCTTTCTTTCTTTCTTTCTTTCTTTCTTTNGTTCTCCAGGTCCATCATGCTGTCAGAAAGAGCAAAATTGTCTTTCTTTTTATCGCAGAGTAATATTCCATGGTGTAAATGCCCCACAGCTTTTTTACCCACTCGTCTACTGATGGACACTTGGGCTGCTTCCAAATCTTGGCTATTGTAAATAATACTGCAATGAGCATAGGGGCACATATATTCTTTTGAGTTAATGTTTCTGGTTCCAGATGTGGAATCTCTGGGTCATAAGGCAATTCTATTTTTAATTTTTTGAGATAACTCCATACTGCTTTTCACAGTGGCTGCGCCATCTGCATTCCCACCAACAGTGCCCAAGGGTTCTCTTTTCTCCACATCTTCCCCAGCACTTGTTGTTTGTTGATTTATTGATGGCAGCCATTCTGAAAGGTGTGAGGTGACATCTCATTGTGGTTTTAATTTGCATTTCTTTGATGATTAGTGATGTTGAACATCTTTCCATATGTCTGTTGGCCTTCTGTCTCTATTCAGGTGTTTTGCCCATTTTTAAATTGAATTGAATTGTTTAGTTATTTTGGTGTTGAATTTTATAAGTTCTTTATAAATATTACATATTAACCCCTTATAAATGTATCATTGGCAAATATGTTCTCCCAANCTCTCTCTCTCCTCCCCCTCTCTTTCTCTCTTCCTCTCTCTAAAAATCAATAAACATATCCTTGGGTGAGGGTTAAAAAGAAAGCACAATGATCCAAAATAAAAGTGTTTAAGGAGGGATTAGTCAACTGGGTCAAATGCTGCTGAGAGAATAAGTAAAATGAGGATTAAAAACAATGACCACAAATTTTTTATTTTATTTTATTTTTCTCATCACTATTTATCCCCTCTATGCCCTCTTCCAACTCCACGCCCCTCCTGCAATCACCACGCTATTGTCCATGTCCATGAGTTCTCTATTTTTTCCTTTTTTGTGCAATCTCTNCAATGAGCATAGGGGCACATATATTCTTTTGAGTTAATGTTTCTGGTTCCAGATGTGGAATCTCTGGGTCATAAGGCAATTCTATTTTTAATTTTTTGAGATAACTCCATACTGCTTTTCACAGTGGCTGCGCCATCTGCATTCCCACCAACAGTGCCCAAGGGTTCTCTTTTCTCCACATCTTCCCCAGCACTTGTTGTTTGTTGATTTATTGATGGCAGCCATTCTGAAAGGTGTGAGGTGACATCTCATTGTGGTTTTAATTTGCATTTCTTTGATGATTAGTGATGTTGAACATCTTTCCATATGTCTGTTGGCCTTCTGTCTCTATTCAGGTGTTTTGCCCATTTTTAAATTGAATTGAATTGTTTAGTTATTTTGGTGTTGAATTTTATAAGTTCTTTATAAATATTACATATTAACCCCTTATAAATGTATCATTGGCAAATATGTTCTCCCAATCAGTGGGTTGTCTTTTCATTTTGTTGATGGTTTCCTTTGCTGTGCAAAAACTCTTTAGTTTGATGTAGTCCCATTTGTTTGTTTTTATTTTGTTTCCCTTGCCTGAGAAGATATATCAGAAAACAATATTGATATGAGAACTGTCCGAGATTTTACTGCCTATGTTTTCTTCTAGGATTTTTATGGTTTCAAGTCTAACATTTAAGTCTTTAATCCATTTTGAGTTTATTCTTATGTGCAGTGTAAGAAAGTGGTCTAGTTTCACTTTTTTGCATGTATCTGTCCAATTTTCCCAACACCATTTATTGAATAGGCTATCTTTAGTCCATTATATGTTTTTGCCTTCTTTGTCAAATATTAGTTGATTATAAGGACATGGACTTATTTCTGGGCTCTCTATTCTGTTCCATTGATCTAAATGTCTGTTTTTATGCCAGTACCATGTTGTTTTGATTACTGTGGCCTTAGACTCCAGATTTTTAAATGTGCATGTCATTGGTGAACTTGACAAGAGAGGAAGAAAAGCTTGACTATAGAAGGTACAAGAGAAAATGCATTAGCAATCTGGTCTCCAACATCTTTCAACAGAACTGTGACCTTTTAATATTATAATCACACTAAGTTTTGTAGACATATAGTTTTATAGTGTCTGTAAATTTAAAGCCAGGAAGATCAGCATTATTGCTCATTCATCAAATTAACATTTTCTAAATAACTAACCTTCATAGATTATTCAGCATCATTAGACACTGTTGCAGGCCATATTAGTATCCGGAATGCATTCAAGCGGACTGAAATAACAAAAGCTCTGACAGCAAATTTTTCCAAACATGTGTGTGTGTAGGGGGAAACAATATAATTTCAGAGATGGAACAAAAAAATCAATATTGCTATACATTTTATAATTATAAAGAAAAAAATTCTTCCAATCAGTAAATTAAGAAAGTTCAACACTAGATTAATAAGACAGAGACCACGGATCTGACTTCAATCCACTTGGTATTAATATTCAATATCAGCCCTAGTCGTATTCAGAATGTTTGAGACAGCCAAGAACAGGA